GGTGGTGGTGCAGGTAGGGTTGTGGTGCAGGCAGGGTGGTGGTGAAGGCAGGGTGGTGGTGCAGGCAAGGTGGTGGTGCAGGCAGGGTGGTGGTGCAGGCAGGGTGGTGGTGCAGGCAGGGTGGTGGTGCAGGCAGGGTTACCTGGAGGTTACCTGGAGGTTATTCCGGGGATCAACGCCCCCGCGGCCCGGTCCATGACCAGGCCTCCCGATGGATCAGGGCCTGATCAACTAGGCTGTTACTGCTGGCCGCACGCAGTCCAACGTACGAGCCACAGCCCGGCTGATCCGGCACTGACTTTAGGTATCTGTCCAGCTCTCTCTTGAAGGCAGCCAGGGGTTTATTGGCAATTCCCCTAATGCTTGATGGGAGGCTGTTAAACAGTTTTGGGCCCCGGACACTTATGGTGTTTTCCCTTAGTGTACCAATGGCGCCCCTACTTTTTATTGGGGGCATTTTGCATCGCCTGCCCAGTCTTTTACTTTCGTAGGGAGTGATTTCTGTGTGCAGATTTGGGACCATTCCTTCCAAGATTTTCCAAGTGTAGATTATGATATATCTCTCCCTCCTGTGTTCCAACGAGTACAAGTCAAGTGCTTCCAAGCGTTCCCAGTAGTTGAGGTGCTTGACAGAACTTATACGTGCAGTAAAGGATCTCTGTACACTCTCTAGATCTGCGATTTCACCTGCTTTGAATGGAGATGTTAATGTACAGCAGTATTCCAGCCTAGAGAGAACAAGTGATTTGAAAAGGATCATCATGGGCTTGGCATCTCTCGTTTTGAAAGTTCTCATTATCCATCCTATCATTTTCTTTGCACGTGCGATCGTGGCACTGTTTGTGATCCTTGAAAGTGAGATCCTCAGACATTACTACTCCCAGGTCCCTTACATTAGTTTTCTGCTCTGTTGTATGGCCGGAGTCAGTAGTATACTCTGTTCTACTTATTATCTCCTCCAGTTTTCCATAACGGAGTAGTTGGAATTTTGTCCTCATTGAACATCATATTGTTTACCGTTGCCCATTGGAAAACTTTGTTTATATCTTCTTGGAGATTAACCGCGTCCTCAGCAGATGACAGCCTCATGCAGATCCTAGTATCATCCGCAAAGGATGATACGGTGCTGTGGCGTATATCTCTGTTTATGTCTGATATGAGGATAAGGAATAAGATGGGGGCGAGTACTGTGCCTTGTGGAACAGAGCTCTTCACTATGGCAGCCTCCGATTTAACTCTGTTGACCACTACTCTTTGTGTTCGATTTGTTAGGAAGTTGAAGATCCATCTCCCCACTTTCCCAGTTATTCCTTTAGCACGTATTTTATGGGCTATTACGCCATGATCGCATTTGTCAAATGCTTTTGCAAAGTCTGTGTATATTACATCTGCATTCTGATTTTCTTCCAGTGCATCCAAGGCCATGTCATAGTGATCCAGTAGTTGTGAGAGGCAGGAGCGACCTGCCCTGAACCCATGTTGCCCTGGATTGTGCAGATTTTGGGAATCCAGGTGATTTGCAATCCTGCTTCTTAGCACTCTTTCAAAGATTTTTATGATGTGGGACGTCAGAGCTATTGGTCTATAGTTCTTAGCTAATGCTTTGCTGCCACCTTTATGGAGTGGGGCTATATCCGTTGTTTTAAGTGACTGTGGAATTTCACCCATGTCCAAGCTCCTCCTCCATAGTGTACTTAGGGCATGCGAGAGGGGTTTCTTGCAGTTCTTAATGAAAACAGAGTTCCACGAGTCTGGGCCCGGGGCTGAGTGCATAGGCATGTTGTCAATGGCTTTTTCGAAATCTATCGGAGTTAGGGTAATGTCGGAAATCTGCATACATTTATGGAGTTTTGAGGCTCATTCATGAAGAAATCATTTGGGTCGTCGATCCTCAGACCGATTAGTGGTTCACTAAACACAGAGCCGTACTGGGATTTCAATATTTCACCCATTTCCTTGTTGTCATCTGTGTAAGTCCCATCCTGTCTGAGTAAGGGCCCGATACTAGATGTGGTATTTGCCTTGTTTTTGGCATATGAAAAGAAATATTTTGAATTTCTTTCAATTTCACTAATAGCTTTAAGCTCCTCCTGCCTCTCCTGGTTCCTGTAAGAGTCATTTAGCTTAAGTTCGATAGTTTCCACTTCCCTGTTCATCGCCTCCTTTCGTGTATCAGATGTTCTAGCACTCCTGAGGAGCTCAGTGACTCTTCGTCGTCTTCTGTAGAGGAAGCGTCTTTTTCTCTCCGGTTTACTCCTGCTCTTCTTCTTTCTTAGGGGAATATGCCTAGAACATGCTTCGGCTACCAGGCAGTTGATCCTTTCAAGGCACTGGTTTGGATCCATGTCATTTAAGACATCTTCCCAACATGTTTCGTTTAGGACATGGTTTACCTGGTCCCAGTTGATGTTCTTGTTGTTGAAGTTGTATTTTGTGAAGACACCTTCACAGGTACATGCATTCTGCTGATCAGGACCCCTATGCATGTACGTCTGGACTTCGATTAGGTTGTGATCAGAATTAGTTGTTTTTGATATTCTTATGTCTCTTATCAGGTCCTCATTATTTGTGGTGGTGCAGGCAGGGTGTGGTGCAATCAGGGTGGTGGTGCAGGCAGGGTGGTGGTGCAGGCAGGGTGGTGGTGCAGGCAAGGTGGTGGTGCAGGTAGGGTTGTGGTGCAGGCAGGGTGGTGGTGAAGGCAGGGTGGTGGTGCAGGCAAGGTGGTGGTGCAGGCAGGGTGGTGGTGCAGGCACGGTGGTGGTGCAGGCAAGGTGGTGGTGCAGGCAGGGTGGTGGTGCAGGCAGGGTGGTGGTGCAGGCAGGTGGTGGTGCAGGCAGGGTGGTGGTGCAGGCAAGGTGGTGGTGCAGGTAGGGTTGTGGTGCAGGCAGGGTGGTGGTGAAGGCAGGTGGTGGTGCAGGCAAGGTGTGGTGCAGGCAGGGTGGTGGTGCAGGCAGGGTGGTGGTGCAGGCAAGGTGGTGGTGCAGGCAGGGTGGTGGTGCAGGCAGGGTGGTGGTGCAGGCAGGGTGGTGGTGCAGGCAGGGTGCTGGTGCAGGCAGGGTGGTGGTGCAGGCAGGGTGGTGGTGCAGGCAAGGTGGTGATGCAGGCAGGGTGGTGGTGCAGGCAGGGTTTTGTGGTGCAGGTAGGGTGGTGGCGCAGGCAAGGTGGTGGTGCAGGCAGGGTTGTGGTGCAGGTAGGGTGGTGGCGCAGGCAAGGTGGTGGTGCAGGCAGGGTGGTGGTGCAGGCAGGGTGGTGGTGCAGGCAAGGTGGTGGTGCAGGCAGGGTGGTGGTGCAGGCAGGTGGTGTGCAGGCAGGTGGTGGTGCAGGCAAGGTGGTGGTGCAGGCAGGGTGGTGGTGCAGGCAGGGTGGTGGTGCAGGCAAGGTGGTGGTGCAGGCAGGGTGGTGGTGCAGGCAGGGTGGTGGTGCAGGCAAGGTGGTGGTGCAGGCAGGGTGGTGGTGCAGGCAGGGTGGTGGTGCAGGCAAGGTGGTGGTGCAGGCAGGGGGGTGGTGTGTGGAGAACTGGCTAGATGAGTACACTTTCCTGCATGCTAATAAGCATAAGACGTTACTTATCTTTTAACAGCACAATTTCCAGCAGCCGCTCCCTGGAAATCCCTTCACGGTGCTGTCTCAGTTTCCACAGGGGCTGTTGATTAACAGGTGAGTTATTCACACAGTTTGCCCCAAAGGAGCGCATATCTCAGCATTTCACTTATCTGAAATGCGTAGTGGTACTCACTTGGTTTTGGGTGAATCACCCGCGCTTCTACCTATCAGCTGCAGTTAACGTAAGATGTGGGTGTGACTGAGCTTACCTGGGTATTGTGACTGACCCAATTTCCCCTAGTTTGTGCTAGGGGAAGTATATCCTGGTATCGATGTCTTGAGTAGGCTGCTACAAATGCGTTATGTTCTCACTCGTTGATAGGGAGTCACTTTGCTCATTCGTTACGCGATAGGGTGATATCTTGTCCCTTTGTTCATAACACCTGAATGCATATTGTGACACAAACTTTTACACTTTATCTGGATTATACCGCCGATTATACACTGGTGTTTCTTCTAACACTAGTTTTCCTAGTGGAGTTTAATAGTATTTCAGAGTTTACCGCACAAAGTCATTATTTTCTCAGTTCTCAGTGTGAGATTTGTGACTTGTTCACGTGCTGATGTCTGAATTCAACCCAGACTGTCGCCCTGCCCCAGTGTCCGCCAGTTCGTCGTCCGCACAAAGTAATATGCTGAGCTCAGCTTTATATACCTTCCTAGCTACACATTGCAACAAGGAATAACACAAGAAGGTTGTTTCCTTGTTGTTTAGCTGTGCTAGAAGTCATAATGTAGACCAAGTGGGGCGCAGGTTTTCTCTTAATTTTCCTGCACTGGGAAAAAGTCATTACTCTCGTTTAACCCTCATTGTGTAGTTGATCAGAAATTCTAGCAAGGAGATCCCTGGTTGGGTTGGGTGCAGGCAGGGTGGCGGTGCCGGCAGGGTGGTGGTGCAGGCAGGGTGGGGGCGGGTCATTTGTAATGTTATCTCTGATATTAGTGGACTCCACCTCAGCTAACCCTTTTTCTAATATTGGTTTAAGATTCTTTTTCTTAATCATCATCATTGAAGCTAGACTCACATGATTCGTATACCATGTGACTCTGAACAACCTGGGTATACACAGGGTGCGATGAGCCTTTTCTCAAGGAATGTTTGTGTTAAATTTAACTTAAAAAAAAACCATACCACGGGCGGGATTGAACCCGCGGTCAGAGAGTTTGTTTGCAATCGTGTCATTATGATTTCGTGAGTCAGTTAAATTTAACTTCCCAGATAACAACCTACTTACTGGTAAGTGTGCCTGGCTAAGAGAAGCAGCAAAGAAACACTCCCAAACAAGAGTTCAATTCAGAAATAATTCACTAAATTCTGAATTAGTGGAAAAGAATGATGACGTAATCAATGAATTGTGTTTTTGTTCCTACCCCTTGTGGGCCCTTAGCTCTCCTGCAGTGCTCCTCGTTCTTGGCCTTTGACTGCTGCTGCTGCTGCTTCTGCTGCTGCTGCTGCTGCTGCTTCTGCTGCTGCTGCTGCTACCTCTCTTGTCCCGCACAAGCCGCAGCCCGAGTGTCAGAACGACTCAGAGAATTTCTGGAGGTGTGTATAAGGGAAGCTTCAATAACACAACTTTCCTCATATGTCTCTTAATCCTGGCTTTGCGTCTGTAGATGCCTTCCTTTCTCGTAACATTGTCAAATGCTCCAAGCTTCAGAACACTCGTGAGTTGACCTGATTCTTCCCTCTCCTCCTTTCCCTACCTTTCTCTTTTCCTATTTCTTCTTTATCCTTTCTTTGTTTTTCTCTCTTCTGCCTAAGTGTATTCTGTCCTGTATTCTTCCTCCCTGTGTTTTTGGCCCTTAGCTCTCCTGCAGTGCTATTTCTTATCTTTATCTGTCCCTACTTTTACTACTACTGTATCTAACATTTTCTTCTACTTCTGCTTCCACTTCTTACTACTACTTTTTCTACCGCTCTTGTCCCGTCCTTGTTCCCCCTCGCCTGTATATTTTCTGGCCTCCTCACTCTCGTGTTAGTGTAACTTTGTAAATGGTCCAAGTCGAACTGAAGCATCGTCGTAAGTTTGTCTCTCCTATGTGCAGGTTATTTGTGTATGTCTCTGGCAATTTGGCAGATGGAAAGATGATCAAACTAAATACAAACTGCATATGAATGGTATACAATACCGACAAGATGAAAATTAGACACATGTGCAACATCTGGGTATCTTTATTGTAGACGTTTCGCCATACAGTGGCTTTATCAACGCAAATTCAAGGATATGATTGAAAGACAGAAGAACTATATACAAAAGATGACGTTATCAGTCCCTCAGCCTTGGAGTTGGTGTGAAGAGCACCGTAGTCGTGAAGATTCTGGACCACAGGCAAGAAAGCTGGGACTTATATACTGGCGTCAGGTGGAAAGGGACGGGTAGCAGACGAGAGCATAGTCACTAGTAGGCGGGATTCCCCAGTGGAAGTAGGTCATACTCACGGGATGGGTTAATGGTAATAGTAGTAATACCCAAGAAGAAGATTATGTAGATGTCCTGTGAACCAAGATTCCATGACGTGATCAGCCTTATGGTCACTTTCTGGAAAACTTATTGAGGAGTATAGTATAAAGATAGGACAGTATATATGATATGTCCAGGTATCAGTATCTTTGTAATTAAAATAATATACCAGATATTTTGAGCAAATATCTCAGATTTTCTTGCATCAGATAAGAAAAGCTGTAAACTTAAATCCAGATGTAATCCTGCTAACTCTTTTGGGTATTAGTTTCTAGGCCTTTGGGTAATACACAGTTACGCAAAACCCCCCATCACAAAAGGGAATTGGGTCACGGTAAACAACTGCCACCCCTTACACTCCATTTAACAATGCTTGCATATCGGGTTTTCCCTAAGGGGGAGAAAGCAAAAAAAGGGCAAGTTATGATATTACGAATTAAGAGGTATAATTCTCAGAAAAATAAGAAATGTGATATTCCAAGAGATCAAATAAAAAAAAAAAAGGGAACACAAGAAGTACCACGTTAATCAGAAACCCCCGGGAAATTTGGGGGAACTAGATACCCGAAAACAGGGGGATTTCAGGATTATGAAACAATTTTTTTTAAATGTCCTAAGACAAAAGTAATACTTGCAGGATATAAATCCACCAAAAACAACGAGGCCAAAAGAAGCATGAAAAGGGGTTAAGTGAACATACTGAGACAGTGGCGGAGACAGCAAGAAAAGCTTGCTAAACGCTAGTACTAGGAGACTTCATTCACAAGGGAAATTTGACTGGAAAACGGAGACCTCCGTAAAGGACAGAAACGATGAAGAACTTATACAAATAATAAGAATCATCGAGACTCTAAAAATAAAACAAGGGGAAAAAGAGAGCCAGCAGATTCTACCTTTTTTTAACCAAAAAATGAAAAATACGTAGATGAAATGACCTATAGAACCCCCTAGGGCCAGCGTTCATGGGTACACCGTTCGAGCCCCTGGGGAAATGGAAATAGAAAGAATTGGAGAAGAAAAAACAAAAATGGATTACGGTTGAGGAGACTAAACGAATGAGAAACTTCTGAAGAAATATAATGAAAGGGGGAACTGGAGGACAATTACACAAAGGGTTGGAGCCAGGGATTTGGGAATTAAAAAAAAAAGAGAGAAAGCTCTGGTATATCAACATGCAGAGAGGGCCAGGGAAAAGGGAACAAACACTGCAAAGAAATACGAGAAAAAGAAAACTGCGGAAACGGGGAAATAAGCAAAAGGGCAGGAAACAACAATAAAAGGGAAGCAAAAGATAGTTTGAAAATTTACAGCATTAATGGCTAACACAGAAGCAGAGTTACTCTATATCCACATACGAAAAAAAGACAACTGTGAGTGAACAAGCGATAAGACTGAAGATTACTAAGGTATCGATGAAGTGCATATAAATGTGGGAGGACCTTCATAGATTCATAGAAGTCCTTACAGAAGAAAGTTAAGAGCTGCCGGAGGGCACTGTAGTCAGACAAGATCAACAGATGCTAGAAAGCATCAGCACAACAAAAGTGAGGAAATCACTGGATGAACTTGATGTAACAAAAGCACTCGATAAGATCAATAAATGTCCATGGGTGCTAAGAGAAGGAACAGAACCACTGTTTAACTCAATCAGGATAAGTGACAGAAAATTAAAAAGAGTAAATTTTTATTATTATTTTATTATTATCACACTGGCCGATTCCCCCAAAGGGCAGGGGGGGCCCGAAAAAAAAAAATTTTTCACCCATCTTTCACCCCATCCGTCTTGCCAGAAGGGTAAATTTACACTCGTTTTAACCCAAACATTAACACCCCTCCTTCAAGTGCAGGCACGTATTTCCCATCTCCAGGCTAAACCGGCCTCCGTTTCCCTGAATCCCTTTTATAAATTTATTTTGCCACACTCCAACAGCACTAAATTTTAAAAAATCATTTTCCCATTCACTCCTATCAAACACCTCATGCATGCCGCTGGAAGCCAACCCCTCGCACCAAAACCCCTTTACCCCCCCCCCCCAAACCCCCTTTCCTAGGCCCCCCCACCCCGCCCCCTTTCCCTACAGACTGATACACCTTAAGTCATTCGTTTCGCTCCATTCTCCTACTGTCCGAACCACCTCAAAACCCCTTCCTCACCCTCTGGACAACTTTTTGGTAACCCCGCCCCTCCTCCTAACTTCCAAAAAAAAAAACCCAATTTCTTGGCAAAATATTCCACCCACACTTTGCCCTCAGACATGACACTCCCTGCCCCACCTTCTCCTGTGAAACCCATTCATCCCCACCTTCACCCCCATAAAGAGCTTTGGGTAAAACATACCTCATACATTCCCCCTTTGCCTCCGGAAAAAAGTTTCTTTGTCCCCAAAGACTCCAAGTGCACCCCCAAATCTTTTTTCCCTCATCAATTCTAGATCCCCCACTTTCATAACCCATCCGCTGACCGCCCCTTTCCCAAATATCGAAACGTTCACCCCCTCCAACTCTCCCCCCCAAATCTATATTCAATCTTTTCATCCCTAATCTTTTTGTTACCTCAAACCTTACTCTTTCCTTATTCCCCTTTTAAATTTTTCTTTTTTTGCACACCCTACCAAATTCATCCCCAAATCTCTGAATTCTCTTCAAAAACCCCCAAGAGCACAGTGTCATACAAAGAGCAGCTGTACAACCCCACTTTGTGTGTGATTCTTTAACTTTTAACTCCACGCCTTTTCCCAAGACCCTCGCATTTCTTTCTTACAACCCCTCTAAAAATATATTAAACAACCACGGTGACATCAACATCCTTGTCTAAGGCCTATTTTTAGGGGAAAAACCCTTTCCTACATACCTAACTTGACCCTCACATCCTCGAAAAAACTTTTTCACTCTTTCAGTAACCTCCCTCCTACACCATACATTTTTGCAACATCTCCCACATTGCTCCCCTACCCCCGTCAAAAACGCCTTTTTCCAAACCCCAAAAAATGCCACAAAACCTCTTTAGCCTTATCTAAATACTTTTCACTTATATTTTCACTGTAAACCCCGGGCCACACACCCCTACCTTTCCAAAAGCCTCCTTGTTCTCTGCTATCCTTTTCTCCGTCACTCTTAATTTTTTCAATTTATAACTCAAAAACACTTTACCAGGGACACCAACCCAAATTATCCCCCCATAATTTTTGCACCTCTTTTATCCCCCTTTTGCCTTTAACAAAGGAACTATGCATGCTCTCTGCCAATCCCCAGGTACCTTACCCCTCCATACATTTTTAAATAATTTCACCAACCCCTCCAAAACAAATCCCCACCTCTTTAACATTTCTATCTTTACCCCTCAAACCCGCGCCTTACCCCCTTATTTTCCTACTGCCTCACGAACTTCCCCCCACACTCACAACTGGCTCTTCCTCACTCCTACAAGATGTTTTCCCCCTTGCCCTAACCGAAATCACAGCTTTCCCCATTTTCATCAAAATTTAACAAATTTCCCCAAATATTCCCAACTTCCCAAACCTCTAACTCTCCATTTTAAAAACCTCCTCCCTATTTTTAACTGACAAATCCATTTGGTTTTCTAGGGTTTTTTTTAAAGTTAAACTCACTCCAAAACTTTTTCTTATTTTCAACAAAATTTGTTGATAACATCTCACCCCCTTCTCATTTGCCCCTTTTTTACATTTCTTTACCACTCTCTTTAAACCCTCCTTTTTTTCCAATTTCTCTTCCCCCCTTGCACACTTCTACTTTTAAAAACTTTTCATAGCTAACTTTTTCTCCCCTTCTACTCCTTTTTCATCATCATTCCACCCAATCGCCCTCTTCCCCCCTCACCCACTTTCCTGTAACCACAAACTTTTGCTAACCCACATTTCATTTTTAAAACCCATCCCATACCCTCTTCGACCCCCTTCCCATGCTCTCATAGCCCTCTATCCTCCAAAAGCTGTTTATATCTTACCCTAACTGCCCCCTTTTTTTTTAAACCCTTTACCTCTCCTTTCCCCGATGCTTTCTATTCTCCTTGTATTTCCCTCTACCTTTTAAAATCTCATGTACTACAACAGAAAGTGACCCGATATACAGGGCCCCCCTATAACATGTACATCCTGAAGTTACTCAAAATCTTTTATCTACCAAACAAAAATCCAACAAACACTTCATTTTTCGCCCTACAACATTCTTGTATACTTATTTTTTCCTCTTTTTCTTAAAATATGTATTACCTATAACTAAACCCCCTTTTTAAAACAAAATTCAATCAAAGGGGCCCCCTTATCATTTCACCTGGCACTCCAAACTACCCACCACACAGAAAATTATCTCACATTTAAAAAAGGGGAAAACACAAAAAGGCAATGAACTACAAGTCGATACTCTAACAAGCATCCTGTCAAAATTTTTGAAGAAGATAGTAAAGGATAATATATTGGGGTACTTGGAATTCTGTGATAGTCACATAGATAAAACAAGAAAGACAGGGCTGGTTAAATTTCACCTTCTTGGACTGCAAGTAAGCATTTAATACACTACCCCCACTGGGCATTGCAATAAATTTTTTGGAACAGCAAAGCTTAAAAAGGGAAGTGCTCCCTTTTGGATCATAGCAGTCAGTGAGGCTGCCTACCACTAACAACCGAGAAAATTTAAAAAGGGTTTGCAACCAGGCTAGTACAAGAACTGAGAAAAATGCACTATTAGGAGAGGTTGAAGGATTATGACGAATGAAATCTTAATGGGAATCTAATGGGCAGATAAAGACAGATTAGGATAACCTAGATCAAGGGCATAGGGAAAGCAAGACACAGAAATATGGAATGTAAGGAAAATTTCTTCGCTTTAGAGCTGTCTTTAATGGAATTACCTGACAGAAAAGAAATGGGGTAGATAGGAGAACAGTAATAAAACAAAATTGAAAAAAAATTGTAAGGGGGATATACTGAAGTCCCCCACAGTCTTACGAAAAAAGACCCAAAACACGAAAAATAAACACCCAGTAAAATACATCCCCCCCCATTTCCTTTTCAACGCCCCTTTCCCCCCCTCCCCTCCCGGGACATTTACCCTCCCAAGCATCCCCCTCCCTGTTGTAGAATTGTGTTTACCCACCACTGTACATACCAAATTTAAAAAGGGTTTTTAGTATCTCCAGATTTTCTCTTTATCTGGAGTTGTGTTAGGTGGACGGGCCGGGGGGGAGGGGACCCCTGAGCGCGTGCACACACGAATCACATCAACCTCGCGCCAGGGGCAGGCGGGCATAAAAAGTGTCGTGGACGTCGGCGTGGTGGGACGAGGGGTGGGGGTGGTGGGTAGGAGTGGTGGGGCGGGGGCGGGTGAACGGGAGCGGGGCATGGAGGGGAAAGGTGGGTGAGGGGGTGGTGGAAGGGGCATGGGGGCGGGGAAATAGGGGGGTGGCAGGGCCAGAAGTAATTGGATGGGGAAGGGGTTAGATGGGGGGTTTGTTTTAGTGAGTGTGATGGTTGGGGGTGGGGTAGCATTGTAGGGGGGGGTAGCGAGGTGGTGGTTTGGGGAGTGATGGAGGGGAGGGGACGAGGGGGACTGCAGTGGGGGGAGGGGGAGGGTTAGGGGGGTGGGGGTGGGTGAAAAGGGGCGAGGTGGGCAGTGGGGTGTTACCTGGAGGGTTTCCTGGGGTTATTCCGGGGATCAAAAGCCCCCCGGGGCCCGTCCAGAGGTGGAGGAGCTTTTTTGTAGGGGTGGGGGGGCGAGGGTGGAAGGAGGAGAGTGCAGGGGGGTAACGGGTGGAAGGGCGAGGGTGTACAGTGGGGGGGGGGGTGAGGGGTGGTGGTGCATTGGTGGGGGGTGAAGGTATGGGGGGCCTTGGGGGGGGGGGTGAAGGATGGTGGGGGGTTTGCCGTGGTGGGGGTTTAAGGGAATGGGGGGTGGGTGGGCCGGGGTGAAGGTATGTGTGGTGGGTATGCCCCTGGGGGGGGGGGGAGAAAGGGGGTGGGTGGTGCGTGGTGGAGGTGGGGTGGGGGTGGTGATTGGGTGGGGGGGTGAAGGGGTGGGGGGGGCCGTGAGTGGGGGGGTGAAGGGAGTGGGGTGGTGGGTGATGCCGTGGGGAAGGGGTGAAGGGGGTGGGGGGGTGCAGTGGGTGGAGGGGGGAGGGTGGTGGGTGGTGCAGTGGGTCGAGGGGTGAAGGTGGTGGGTGGTGCCCTGGGGGGAGGGGTGAAGTATGGGGGGTGCGTGGGGGGGAGGGGTAAAAGGGAGTGGGTGGGGGGGTGTGCGTGGGGGGAGAGGTGAAGGTAGTGGGGGGGTGGTGCCGTGGGGGGAAGGTGAAGGGAGGGGGTGGTGCCGTGGTGGGAGGTTAAGGTATGGGGGGTGGGTGGTGCCGTGGGTGGAGGGGTGAGTTAGTGGGTGGGGGTGGTGCCGTGGGTGGGGGGGGGGTGGTGGGTGAGCCGTGGGTGGTGGGTGAAGGAGTGGGTGATGGGGGATGCTGTGGGGGAGGGGTGAAGAAGTGGGTTGGGGATGCCGTGGGTGGAGGGTGAAGGAGGGGGTGGGGTGGGGCCGTGGGGGAGAGGTTAAGGTAGTGGGGGGTGGGTGATGCCCTAGGGGGAGATAAGGGAGTGGGTGGTGCCGTGGGTGGGGGAGAAGTTGTAGTGGTGGGTGTCCGTGGGTTGGGGGGGAAGGTTGGGTGGTGGGTGAGCCGTGGGGGGAGGGGAAAGGTAGTGGGTGGTGGGTGATGCCGTGGGGAGGAGTGAAGGTAGTGGATTGTGGGTGATGCTGTGGGGTGGAGGGGTGAAGTAGTGGTGGTGAGGTGCCGTGGGTGGGGGGATTAAAGTAGTGGGTGGTGCAGTGGGTGGAGGGGGAAGGTAGTGGGTAGGTTGTGCGTGGGTGGAGGGGTGAAAGTAAGGGGTGGAGGTGATGCAATGGGTGGAGGGGTGAAGTAGTGGGTGGCTGGTGTGCCGTGGGTGGAGGGTGAAGGCAGAGGGTGGTGCCGTGGGTGGAGGGGTGAAGAGTGTGGTTTTGGTGCCGTGGGGAGGGGTGAAGGTAGGGGTGTGGGTGATGCCGTGGGGGGAGGGTGAAGAAGGTGGTGGGTGGTGCCGTGGGTGGAGGGGTGAAGGAGTGGGTGGTGGGTGGCCGTGGTGAGGGGTGAAGATGTGGGTGGTGGTGGGCCGTGGGTGGAGGGTGAAGGTAGTGGTGGAGGGGTGAGGGTAGTGGGTGGGGGGGTGATGGTTGGGTGGAGGGGGGAGGGTTGAGGGGGGAGGGGGTGGGTGGGAGGGGTGAGGGTGGTCGGTGGAGGGGTGAGGGTGGGGGGGTGAGGGTGGTGGGTGGGGGGGTGGTGGTGGAGGGGTGAGGTGGTGGGTGGAGGGGTGAGGGTGGTAGGGGTGAGGGTGGTGGGTGGGGGGTGGGGTGGAGGGGTGAGGGTGGTGGGTGGGGGGGTGGGGTGGAGGGGTGGGGGTGGTGGTGGAGGGTGGTGGTGGAGGGGTGAGGGTGGTGGGTGGAGGGGTGGGGGGTTTGGGAGGGGTGGGGGTGGAGGGGTGAGGGTGGTGGGTGGAGGGGTGAGGGTGGGGGGGTGAGGGTGGTGAGGGGTGGGGGGTGGAGGGTGAGGGTGGTGGGGTGGGGGGGTGAGGGTGGAGGGGTGAGGGTGGTGGGTGGAGGGGTGAGGGGGTGGAGGGGTGAGGGTGGTGGGTGGAGGGTGAGGTGGAGGGTGAGGGTGGTGGGTGGAGGGGTGAGAGGAGGATTGCGGAGGTCCTGCAGATGGTTTTCTAGTTTGTTTATTTTTTCCAGTGTGTTGTGGTCCACAGGAGCGACTTACATTCTTGTTGTCCCGGGGGAGACACCAGGGAGACACCAGGGAGACACCAGGGAGACACCAGGGAGACACCAGGGAGACACCAGGGAGACACCAGGGAGACACCAGGGAGACACCAGGGAGACACCAGGGAGTCAGTGTGTACTAGTTGATGAAACAAGAAGGCGGATAATAGCATCTAAGAAAGGGAAGAAATATAAAGAAAGGTAAGAGGCAAAAACTATTTGTAAAGGAAAATTTTGAATCAAATATTCTAGCTAATAATCAAATCATCTGAAGATAATGCGATGGTGAGCGAAAGATCGTATGTTTTGAGGGAAAAGTTGGCCAGCAGCTGATGAGGTTATCTTCACGACGCTGCACCAGACATTTGTTGACTCAAAAATGAGCAGTGTTTGCAGAGAGAGTGTTGCTTGTGTCATGACAGTCTCACATCAACCTCGTCTGGCAGACCTACTCTCAACACCACTCTTGTGTACTTCTTCGGCTAGTTCACTCCAGGTAGACTTTGTTTATTATCCAACGTAGTTAAATGGCATTGTACGGCTATCATATCATATATATATATATATAAATATATATATATATATATATATATAAATAATATATATATATATTATTATATATATAAAATTATATATATTATATAATATATAATTTATAAGAAAACACACATCTTGCCGTAACTATTATTGTTACCACGTTGCCCTCTGTGAGAGCTTTATTAACTCTTATTTATAAAGTTCTAACGGAGAAATTCATTTTCTCAATATAATCTTGTTCTGCAAGATGTATTTCTATAACACTGTTATAAGCCACTTCAGTTAAAAGGGGAATATTATAACACCTGTGAAGGTCTTGTATTGAATAGAACTAAGTTACCACACTGCTTTTCTTTAATTCAAACCTGATTTCCTTCCTTTTCCCCAGGGGTTGCATATCTTCTTGCGTGGCTCGAATTTACCTTTAAAATGTTAATTACGTATTTCTGGAGAGGTACCTATAGGACGTTCCTTGAATTTCTTTTCTCCAGCTTTTCGATTTTATTTCGCGCATAATATAGAAGACTTTATCCAATCAGCTTCAAATTTTCAATACTCGTGTACGGTAACAAGGACCAAATTCCTGGAACAATTGGCATGTTCACGCTTTCTATGACCAAAGGTACTGAAGCTATTTCCATCTTCTTGGAATGCCTCAGATAACTTCCAAAATCCTCAGTAGCAGAGCTTCAGACGTCCAAGATAAAGATACCAAAATATTCAACGATGCTGGAGAGTGAAATTCAGATGTGTAGGTGCAGATCTTACCATTTAATATGTAAATTAGTGTAAAATTTTGATTCCCATTAAATAATTTTCAGTTTACCTCTTCAGATCAGTTTCAATCTTTAATAGTTATGCATCTTAGAATCAGCATAGTACCTATTAAGTTTATTTTACCTGGAGACAAATTTGATGATGTAGTAAAATAACATAAAAAAAATTGGAATCTTTGAAAAATCTGTCTTTAAGTTATCATTTTTGGTGGTGTTCCTGGACACAAGACTCCCGCGGCTCTTCAGTCACATAACACCGAATTTGACAATTTTATTGAATAGTCATATGTTTTTATTCAATAACTAACGAATGGTTTTTTTTTTCTGACTGGCTTCAAAATATTATTAATGATGTATTGTATAATAAGGACAGTAGTCCAAAAGTTTAGTCTGAGCGGATACAAATTTGAAATTTTACTGCAGTAGTTAGAAAACTTGGAATCATTGGATTCTGATCAATTACCTGAGAATACTTGTTCAGATCGGCTTCAAACTTTTACCATTCATGGGCTGTTTTACAACACAGTTTGACACTCACTTTCAGATACGTAAATTTAAATTTTCCCACTTTCATTAAACAAATTGTTTCCCCATGTAATAACTAGTGAATGTCTCTTCTGATGAACTTCAAATCCTAAATCTGGTCTCTCTTGATAGGAAATATTTATGTATTAATTATGGTTGTGTGGATGCCAGGTTGCCAATATTGTTGGTATCTTTCATAAAACTGGAGTTTTTTTATCAAAATAAAAAAAAAATAATTCTTACAGGATTATAGATAATTTTAAATGAAATGTAAATAAAAAAAGAGAAAATACAAACAATAAAAACACCTGGTTTTATGATGCTTTAGACTTTAACGAGGGAAAGTTGATTATTATTTACAAGAATATTCTCGTTTACTTTGTCTCAAATTTTTCATCTATTACTTGAGAACACCTTATTCGATCGGCTTCAAATTTGCAGTTCTTGTGGAAAGCATTTTAGGCAAGAATCATGGGCTCAATTGCATACGCAGATGCCCTTTGCATAATACAACACAGGTCATTACCAAATTTTGTTTGTGTGTGACTGGTGGAGACAGACGCCTCTGATCACCTTCAGACTTTCCACATCTGTGTATCTTACTTAGAAGAAGGTTGCTATACTTAATGTAGTGTGTTGATGACATTTTGCCACTTTTATTCTCCATATTGCATTGTATTATTTTTGCTTATTGCAAGGAGCTGGACTTCTAGCTTGGATCGAATCTGAATGCCTCCCATTCTCATAAGAACTATATGGCCCCTGCGGGTTTATTGCTTTCCTCTGATTAAACTATAACAATTGTGAACGGCATGAGTCTTCAGTGGTTGATGCATTGTATGTAATGGATGGAACGTGTCGTGGGTTAAAGGTTGTGTAGGCACAAATTTTGTTGGACTCTGTGCAATAACTGGAAAATGCTTCTTCTGGTCGGCTTTAAACTTTTTAGTGCTTTCGCCATTTTATGAATCAAGTTGATTTTTGTGAAATAATGTCTTTTCTGATGAGAAATAAGCCAGTGCTTGGATTTATTTGGTTATCTTGGGTTAAATCAACTTAATGTTCATTTATGCGCCATAAAGACCAATATATTGTACACTAAGCTTTTGTACACTAAGCTTTCTTTCTTACTTACTGCACTTTGTTATAACCTGGCCACTCTTACCTGGAGAGAAAAGTTTGAATTGATTTTGGCCTGTGTAGGTCCCATTTTTTTTTGAGGGGGGGGCTGGGTACTTGAAAAATTTAAATATTATTTTTAATGCAATCATTTCTGAGTGTCACATTTAATTAGCTTCATTCCTTCCAAGCTGATTACTTAATAATGCAACTTCTGAGCGGCTTCAAGCATAATGTGCTTATGTATTGTAGGATATCGGTCTTTTTGAAAAGTTCAAATTGTATTTGGGCTATGAAATACCTTATTTTACAAATTTTATTGAAGACATCTGGATATATAGTTTCCATATGATGACTGATAAATGTCTCTTCAAATTTCTTTCAAATCTTCAACGATAACATTCAACTGCATTATCAAATCTTGTACACTGAGGCACTGGGGACTGGGGACTGGGGACTGGGGACTGGGGTTGTGGAATTCGGGGATACCTTCATCAGAGCGAGAAAGGCATTTAGTTATATTACGGGAGCCGAGTCTTAGCGCCAGCCCGAGAAGCGAGGGGAAGGGGGAGCCCAGGGCGCTGTCTCGGGACTGCATGAAGACCTTGAAGAACATTCCTTCATCTCATGCCTACGCAGATGACGCCACTCTTATCTGTAGTTCAAAAACATCCTGGCCGCCTTTGAGATCACCGCCTTGCGCGTGCATGGGTCTGGAGAATGTTCTGGTAGATTATGTAGTCATGGAGAGTGACTGTGTAATCCTTGATATATTACATGGTCATTGAGAATGTTGTAGTCACTGTTAGTAGTGTTATCCTTGTTGTCACTGTTAGCAGTGTTTCCATTGTTGTGGTAGGCCACTGTTAGTAGTGTTCCTGTTGTAGTGGTCGCTGTTAGTGGTGTTCCTTTTGTTGTGGTGGTCCCTGTTCGTACTGTTGATCTTGGGGTGATAGTGTTAGCAGTGACTCGTGTTCGTACACGGACCAAGGAACTCGGGTACGTGCACGGACCAGAGAACTCGGGTAAATGCATTGACGAAGGAACTTGGGTACGTACTAGTAATATAAATGGTTGATTGCTGAGTTTTTTTTTTTTAACACAGCGGCCGTCCCCCACCGAGGCAGGGTGACCAAACAAAGAGGAAACGCACTAACACATTCAGTCAGTCTTTGTATAAACCTTGGTAACTGATACCCACAAACTGGTTTAAAAAGACATGTGAGCAATTACCAGGGCATATTTATCAGAAAACGTTTCGGTCCTGAGACCTTGATCACTGCTAACATACAGTCTCGTCAGAAGCACCTATGTCACTGTTCAGATGACTTTCCAAACTACAACATCCCCACCTCTCCTTCACTGTACCTCCCACCAGCAGGACTGAAATCCGACTAACCGGTTTCCCCTGAATCCCTACATAAATGTTAACTTGGTCACACTCCAGCAGCACGTCAGATTGCAAAAACCTCATGTCTTAACACCCAAAGCCTTTTTCCCCTCCCTTCAACCCTTTCTGGGACTACCTTTAGCCCTCCTCCTCTCCTTCCCTGATTTATACACCCTCCTAGTCATCGTATTTGCTCCATCCACACTAAGTACCCAAACCACTTCTAAAATCCCTCCTCAGTCCTCTAAATTATATATTTGATAACCCCACACTTGCATCTAATTTCCTTGCTTCGAATTCTCTGCATAATATTCACACTACACATTGCCCTCAGACACGACATCTCTACCGCCTCCTGACTCCTCGTCGCTGCAATGTGTATAATTCATGATTCACACCCATAAAACAACGTTGGTACCACTATACTTTGGTACGCTTCCGTTTCTGCCTCCTTGAACAATGTTCTTTGATCCACATATACCTCGATGCACCACCCACCTATTTCCCATTTTTCTATTCTAGGGTTTACCTCATCTTTCGTAGACTCATCTGTCGACGTGTTCACTTCCGAACATCTGAACACATTTACATCCTTCATATTCCCGCCTTCCATTCTAATATCTAATCTTTCACTACCTACATATTTTGTTCCGCACATCTCATTACTCTTTCTTATGTTCACCTTCAATTTCCTTATGTTTGCATTCCTTCCCAGAGTCCTCCATCAATCGTTGCAACTTGTCTTCAGAATCATAAAAAAGTGTCATCAGGAAAGAACAACTATGACAACTTATACTCTGTATCTTTTAACCCCACACCTCCCCCAACCCCCTAACTAACACTTCCTTTAAAAT